ATTCCCAGACCCAACTCAGTCCTTCTCAAGCAGAAGGAGGGGTGAGGAAATGGGCAGTGTTAACACACTTCCCAGTCGAGGCTTGTGTTCACAGAAGTTGGAGAGCCTGCCACCACTTTAGACCATCAGCCTGGGCCAGAGTTCCCCCCAGCCAGTGAGGATGCTATGATGGAGTTCTGCCCGACTTCTCTACGCTCTACACTTCAGAGCACAAAGTCAGGAAAAACGAGACCTTTGGATGGAGTTCAGAAAAAAGCACCAGAATTTCTTTTAAGCCAAGGCTAGATAAAGGCAGAAGTCAGTTAAGAGCAACTCTTCCCTCTCGCTCTGATTCCTATGCTGTGTGCCAGGACTGGATTGTGGGAGCTTTATCAGGACATTCTCATTGCATATCCCACATCTGGGCCCTAAGACATCTTTAAATTCAGTGTGTTGGCAGATGCAGATGGACGGTGATCCTGCAGAAAGCTCTCATGTGCTTCAAATGCTCATTTCATGAATGGATCATGACATCAGCAGATAATGTTTTTCTTGTACCTGCCCTAGACTCTAACCACTGCGGGGCAGCACTGATGTCCTGGTCACCATGATTTCACCAAGACCCAGCACAACTCTTGCTTGGGCCCATACTTGGTCCTTAATGCATACTTGTTGAACCACTAAATGAATGAATGGAGATGATCAGCCACAAATGGATGTTCACATAACTTTTCTCTGGAATCCCACATATATGTTTAGATAATTTTCTCCCACTCCCAGTATTTTACAGGATTTTTTTTACAGGTACATAAATAATATAGGTGCTTAGTTGTTTATATTTATACATTTATATTATGCACATACATACACACATGCATGCACGCACACACACACACATTTCATCCCTTTATGAATAAAACCCTTTATTCTCAAACCATTCTTTCTTAACTGCTTACCTGAAAATGGGTTTTATTCTCTGAAGTTCCAGTGACCTGTTGCAGATTTAATATTTATGGAGTGACTGCTTTACAGCAGATACTGTCCAAGGTGGTTTCTCTGGTTATGACTATTATCTCATGCATTTTTCACAACAACTTAGAGGTTGCCCTCACCACCTCAACCCTCCCACCCCCGTACATATCAGTATATAATCATCAACACAGGCAGTATTTGAACCTGAGTCTTTCTTGGGGTTCTGCCACAATGTTCCTCAGAACAAAACCAAGCTTAAAAGCATAGAAACCTTCCTCAAAGCAAGCACATTTTCCAGAATTTGTACTTTTCCCAGCCTATTGCTAAATTACCTTGCTGATATGACCCTTGCTCTGCATGATAAAAGAGCAGGTGAAAGATGAATGGGAGACCACTAGGTAGGAGGAGAGGACTGTCAATCATGGGGCCTTTCGAATTCCTCACCCACCCCAAGCCCCCAGCCTTCTGGAGGTGGTGAGAATTGGCTTCCTTTCATTCAAAACAGCCTCAGCGACTGTTTTGCAATGAAATCACTGACAGCTCCACAGCCCTGACTCCCCCTCCTTCTGCCCACCCCTTCTAGGGGGAGAACTAGGAGGAATGGTGACCCCTGAAAGCCTGACCTGGAAGTAGAGCAAAGGCACGTGCCTATATCAGCCAGGCATCAGAGGATCTGGCTTGACTGAGAGAATTCCTACTGAGCAGACAGGAGCGATGCACCTGGGCCCTCTCTTTGGCATCTCTGTGTCACCTGCAGCCCTGCTTGTCTCCTAGAGCAAAGCAAGGTGGCCTCCACAGAGAGCTTAAGGGAGGTTGTAAAACAAGCCAGGAGCTCCAGGGCTGTCAGCTGTGCTCAGTACGTCTCAATTCCCCCTGGGCCAGCCCAGCTGCTATTTGTCCTTTCTTTGGAGAGCAGAGCTGTCAGGTGGCACTGAAAGTTATTTGTTCTCATTAGCTGGGCCTGTGGGTGTGTGATTATTTACAACCCAAGTGCTAAGGGTATAATGTTATGATGAGGAAAGGGGCCCATTCCAGGGATCATCTTGTGAACCTGTTAGAGGTTGCAGGCTCCAAACAACTGTTCTATGGACCCATCGGGGAAGCTTAGCAGTTAAAAAGAGTAACAAAACCCAGGAACTGTCAGCACCCAGGAAAGCGGTTGTACAACCTGCCTGCTATTCTGCAAAGAAGCTGTGAGTCCTTCTGGGTCATAAAACCCATGTCAGTAGGTAAAGAAATATTGCATTTGTGGATCTTTGTTCAATTTTCAGGTACAGCAAACAACTGTCTAAAGTACATGCCAGAAGGAACTGTGTCAGAGATGGAGTCTGTTAAGTCTATAAGGCAAAATAGTTGATTGCAAAGATAGAATGAACATATTTACTCCTGAGGGCTGTTCCAGTTAGGATATTCATTTATGTCTCCTGTTAAATCATGTAGAGAGAGAGCTATTTTATGCGACCATTGTTCCACAGAATGGTTTAAGTGAGGGACCAGTTTGGGGGAAGAAAAGAAAATATTGATATTGGGCAGTTTTATGAGAATGTAAATCAAATCCAAAGTTTGAGATCCAAAAGAATGAAGTTATTGATGATATGAATTAACTTTGGTATATTGTTCCTGATTCAAGCTGCATGAATAGCTCAATTCTTCTGTGCTTTTTTTTTTTTTTCATTTGCCAAGAATAAAATGGATGGTACATAGTTTGACTTTAAATTCCCAGTTATTTATGAATTGAAGTGAATGTTTAAAAACTAAGATTTTCAAGGTTATGCTATTGGTCAATGTGTATGGGCTAAATAAGATTTATCCCCATTCTGATTATTTATAAATAAAATGATAGAGGAAAAAGAAAAAATACCAGTTAAGGTTTATTTTGGAGCTATGATAGTTCTAGGGATGCTATTTAACTTGGTCTGGACTAAAAAAAAAAAAGAAAAGAAAAAAAGAAACTAAATACTATTTCTTCAAAAACTAATGAAAGGCCTTTCTTTTTTACTTAATGTCAAAATATGTAAATTTGGAATGGATTCTGGTAGAAAAAAAATCCCTCTTGTGCATAAAATTCAACTAATCAATTAAAGGTAATCTGATTCTAGTCATTTACTGCTTGTGGTGTGAATGCCTCCTAACCACGAGCTGATGACAGCCTATATTTTAATTTTCGATGAGACTTACCCGTAGCAAACTGTTGTTAAGAGAGTGCTATTTTGTCAATATTGAGTCAAGAAACAATTAAGCTCAATGAAAACATTCTCACCATAATCTGTCCCACTATCCTAGACAGCGATACAAAAACACATAATTTAGTATCACCAAAAATAAATTTGTTATCAAGAGAAAAAAAAAGATGAAAGCATATCCCTCAGCCTTTGGCTGACTGTGAGAACTACCAAGATGATTACATGATTATCACACTGTGTTATAATTGTGTTCTTGCCAACTTCCTACCAGCTATGCTCTCTCTGAAACCGAGGAACCATAGTCATCTAGCTTTGCAAATACTCTGAAAATTTATATTCAATAAATGAAGGATGAAATGAATGAACAGAAGTAACTTCTATCTAGGATGCTTAAATATTCTGACTTGATCTTTAATGTTGTCAGTTTCAGTTATCACACTAAATGTTACTATAGCTGCTGAAAAATACCACATAATTTACCTGTCCACCTTAATTTTATCAGTAGTAGCCATATGGGTACAAAGCTTCAAGGTTATGGTGAAATTTAGTAAGTGATTCTTTGTGAAGTGTTTTTGAAATCTGCAGGTGAAAAAGAAATCTTAGTGCAAATAAATGTGGAAATGATGAATGATTATCTGGAGAAAATGTGAGATCCTTGAAATACCAGGGATATGTTATTGGTTTTACACATGGCTTTTAGCTGGCATTGTGTCACATGCTCACTCTTAAGCAAGTCATTGAAGGGGAATGGGATTACCAAGATTGACTTAGATTCATCAAGAGTCATCACCTAGGGCTGAGAGGTGCCCAGTTTCTCATATTGTCCCAACCTGCCCTATACCTGAAGAAAATTAGGGTTCTGTTAATATATTATTAAGAATTATATTTGGCTTTCTATTGGAAGAAACTCAAAATAATGGTGGCTATTTTATTTTTGTCTCACACTGAAGTTCAGAAATAGACATTGCAGCTCTATGCACCATCAAAACCAGGCTCATTTTATTTTTCTGCCCAGTGATATTTAATATGTGACTTCTATTGTCAAGGTGGCTGCTGAAGCTCCAGCCATCACTTTCATACCCAGACAGAACAAGGAAGAAGAAGAATGAGCCCCTTTCTTCTTAGAGCCTTCCTATAAGCCCAAGAAAGTAGTCTTCTTATAACTCAGTGGCCAGAAGTTTGTTATAAAGTGACAATTGGCTTCAAGAGAGGCTGAGAAATGTAGTTTGATGTATACAGTAAAAATAAAGTCAGGGTTTGTCACTAAGGAAAAAGGGGGAAATGGATGTTGGAGTACACAACTTTGAGACTGTTACAGGTAGCAATGACAAAATGGTGGCACAAATGAAGATGTGGGGGAGGATAGTGGAGCATGTAGGAAACAGTGAGTTGTCCCTATTCTCCACCACTCAACCTAGCTCTGCTGCCAGTAGATTTACATGGTGAATCACACAGCAAAGGAATAGAAAGGAGAGACAAAGGACATTGCAAATCAGCAAAGTGTAGAAACTGTGTATAAATAATTAGGACCGTGTTTTGCACTATATCATTTTTTAGCCTTCTTGGAGTACTTTACATATGAAAGGACATTATTTCTCCAAATATGGAGATGTGGAAGTCAAGGTATGAATGATCTTTCTAGACTAACCATCTTAATTAGCAACAAGGTCACCTTTGGAAAAAGCCAAGTATTACCTAGAAGGACACGCTTATTATGAAAAGAATCAGGTCCCCTAGAAGTAGAGGAAAGAGGCCAAGAGGAGCTAATTAGCTACAGTAAGCTGTGGGAAACTTATTGGTGAATTAGTGTCCTTGCGTAGAGCCGCATTATTATAAACATCAACTCTTTTCTTTATTTTTTTAAAGGTAGCCAACCAAGTTGTTCAAGCTCTGCTCACTCAAAAGGTAGGTCACTTTCTCGCTTTATTATTTTCAAAGTACCTATGTGAATAGATTGAAACTCATATTGTCAAACTAGGAAATCGTGATTGATAGATGCAATACTTTCCTATTTATTCACTTAGGTTAAAACTGTGTGTGTTTTAGATGGCATATGAAGTAACATCAATGACCAATAGAATCATTAAATTCAAACTCTTGGTAAAGTAATAGAAACCCTTCTGAAGATGAAATATTTCCAGGGACCCAGATGAGTAGAAAACCTATCATTTTTACTTAATAAATGCAAACATTGAATCAGTTGGTGGATTCCTCCAATTCCTGTAAAATGAATAGCCTCTTACAGACAGTCTTAACAGAAGCCAAAAATTCAACAAGAGATCTTTGAGGTTAGGGAAGTTATTTAATTTCTCTGGGCCTTAGTTCCTCTCCTGTAAAATAGAAATAATGATGCCCACCTCCCAGAATTGCTGTGGTCCTCTGGGAAAGTATGTAGAGCAGTTCCTATAGGAATCAGTTGGTGGTAAATATAAAACAAATGGCAGTACTGTATACTTAAAACTTTCTGACAGTAGATCTCAAGCATTCTTTACACATACACACACACACACAGCACATTTACATATATAACACATGTGTGCGCACACACTGACACGAAGCATTAACTATGTGAGGTGATAGATATGTTAAATATCTTGATCTTGGCATTCATTTCACAATATAATGTATGTCAAGTCATCACATTGTATACTTTAAACATATGCAATTATATTTGTCAATCATTCCCTGATAAAGTTGGGGGAGGGGAGGGAAATCAAATGGTAATTTCTGAGCATTTACTTCTTTGCTATGTCCCTATTCTGCCTTCAGATAATATGTGATTGGAGCAGAGTTTGTAAATGCAGGTAATTGCCCAAATTTGGCTGGTTTGGTTAATTTTATCAAGCCTTCCCCATCTCTTTCCATAATGTTTCTCACAGGTTAAATTCTAGTTCCTTCAGATTTTGTTTATTCTGAGTTACCTCTCTGGAGATGGAACCTTCCTCTATACAAGGAAATCTTAGGTTGTGTGGCATATGCAGGGGGATATGATTAATGAGAGTAAAACAATTTATGACTTTTAAGAGAGGCTTCCAAAAGCTTTCATACCTCCATACTTACATCTCCTCGAACAGACCTTGGTCATACAGCCTCACTTAAGGAAGGTGACGTGTTGATTCTGGGTATGTGTGAAGTTGAAAATTAACTGACATATTATTGTGGAAGAAGAGGAAAAACAGATGTTGAAGAACAGCTCCCCCTTTGTTTCACAACATATTTCAATGCCTTTTCTTTTTCAAAGGCTTTAATTTCTCAATGGCTCTCCTATTGGAAACTCCATGTTCATTTAATTACAAACCTGAGAAATGCAGGGAGCACTGCTGCAGCTCTCCACGTAATTGTTAAAAGACTTCTCATGCCTGTCTTTTCAAACAGTGCCTCAGGAAAGAGACAAGGAAGCCATTTGGTACAATATCAAGGAAAATGGGACTCTTCAGGTCAGCCACAAAAAAAATAGCTACACAAATTCAAGTAATAGCTAGTAAACAGATAAATCTACCTCGGTACAGTTAAGCAGTGAGACACAGAAGGACGTGCTGCCGTGAGGTAGCATCCCTCGGGGACACGGTGAGGCGGGAAGAGGAGCCACTGCTCGCTGAGATGCCAAAAGAATCATGTTCTGCAGAAACCTGTGCCTCCCAGCTTTTATAGGAACTGTAAAATGGCTGCAAAAAGACTGAAACTTCTTTAACTAAGAGCACAATATAGGAAATAAAATGTACTTCAAGTGCAGATGAGAAAACGATTTCTAAAGAAGATATACCTCCTAAAGAGGCACAGAATAAAAAAGAGAAATCTTGAGTGGTTTATCCAAGTCACAGAAATCATTTTTGAGGTGGCATTCTAGTCATAACTATTCAATTTTAGAATATATCAGTTGTTCCAATACACAGGCAAATCTGCCATAGCTTCAGCAATTCTCTGAGCAACCAAAAAAGCATTTTTCATGGCAGATCCTGAACTGGCTCAGATAAGCATCCTGAAGTAACAGAGTGTACTTCTTTTCTCAATAATGATTGAAAAAAAAATGATTTCCATAAACTTATCAGTTTGTGTTAAATGTACATATATTGCCCTAGGCAGGTAATTCAGTTTATCTCAAAACCCTGTTCCTTTAACAGAGCAGACTAGACTGTCCCTTCTTTAGATCAATAATGCTAACGTGACAATATTAAACCCAGCTCACTTCCATTTATGACTCCAAATCACAGGTTCAAGTCTACAAGTGTGAATGAAATCAATAATTGAGCTAAACTCATATTTTTGTCTGAAATATATTTTATCTTCATTAAGTCAATTATACTAGCTGAAAATGTAATTCTCCTAGGTTCTTCAATGTTTTTCTTTTTCTTTTCTTTTCTTTCTTTCTTTTTTTCTTTTTTATTACCACTAGAACCAAACTTGGAAGAAAAACATTTTTTCCCTGAAGTTATTTTTCAAGTAATTCAACAATCTCAGGCTTATCTGCAGTTTCTTTAGGGTGTTTATATAGTATTTTTTTTTCTTCACCAATGTAGAACAAGGCTCTTGTATCTTGAACCTAACAATATAGCCATTCAGATGGGAGGAGAACACGATTTTGTAGCTTGAAACTGAAAGAGCATCAAACTCCCACATGTTTCCCTTGTTAGAAAGGACAGTCAGGCCATCTGGGCCCTCTTATCCAGCAATGGTGTGTTAGGATCTGATTCCCTGAAGAGGGTCTATTTATATTTATTGTGCACTTACAGGGAGTCACACCCCAGTATTTTAAATGCACTAAGTCATTTTATTCTCACCACAAGCCTATGGGATAGGACTAAAAATAATTTGCCCGTAGTTCCAACTCCTAGAGGTGGCAAAGCCCATACTTTAATTTAAGGTTATTCCACTCAAATCCCTGTTCTTGTCCCCTGTACTATTGAGTCTACATGATCCCATTTTATCACTTATTGTTTTTCCCCACTATAGTTCTGCAGGCAGAGGAGATGCTATGAAACCAACAGATAGATGGAAATCCATCATTAGTTATGATCACAGGAAACAAAGGGCATGGTAGCCAATTGACTCCTTGAGACTTCTGGAATAATTGCCAGACCTTTCTAGCAAGAATATTTAGGTCCTGACATGTGTGGAATCAAAGTGGACTCTGTAAATTTGGAGTCAAGCTCTCTCAAAATCAGTCTTATTTTGGACCCTCGAATTTCACAATTGCCAGGGACCTTAGCGCTTAATCCTGATATTGTCGATTATATAGTTCTGGTAATGGGCTCAATTCACTCTAATAGCATGGACTGTTTAGCCATCACCCTGAATGAAAATGTTTTCATCCAAATATCTTTAGGGGGAAGGCTTGAAGTATTCAGTTTGCCACAGAACTCACCACTTCCTATTGATTACAGCTGGCCTGACTTGGTCACACAGTTAGTGACCTGTCTTGCCTTTTAATGGTATTTTTATGTTGAGGTCCTTGGTTAATCTGAGATGTGACCAGCGTTTTCCAGAAATGGCGTTTCTTTTTACACAAGTCTTAGAATCCTTGGAAGAGAAAGGAATATATCAGTAATAACCACTTAGAAGAAGAGAGGCTGATGGGTGTGGTGTCCTTTAAGCTTCAGGGAAGGATTGAAGTGGCATTTGACAAGCCATCTCGTAAAGCAGCTAGGACATCCATTCTCGCAAAAGCCTGGTTTTGTGCAGTAACTCAGTTTACAGATGAGGAAATAGAGGCCCAGCCAGAATAAGTTACTCTTCAAGGTCATGTGGACCTGGAGCCCAGGCCCCCTACCTCCCAACCTGGTGTATTCCTATGATACGCACTGCCTCTAAAATAGATATAACCACTGTAATGTCATTTTCCATGAAAAAATCAGATTTAAATAGTTCTCAACAACACTCTTGTGATGTCAGTATATATCCTGCTTCTAAGTCATCAGCACTTTCCCAAATTCACTTCAGCAGGGAGACTGGTAATGGTTTTGCTCTAAGTGCATGAAGTAACTGTATTCCATCGCAGTGAGTCCAGAATCTCCTTCAACCCCAACTGCAGGTGAAACTTGCAGTGTGTGGGTCATCCAGGGAGGTGACGATTTGGAGTAATTAAGATACACAGGGTCAGCGTATCACATCGGTCAGTACATTTTGCCCTCACATCCGGCTGTCCTTTCATATCCTGTTTCCAATTGACAGTGACATACAGATTGCAAGGAAAGCAGGGCTGGCTATTTCCTTGACCCCAAAGGCCATTATGGTTTCTTACATGAGATGAAATGAAGTCAAACCTTGGGCATTATTTCCTGGTGATAAAATTATGCAGCATGTCTCCTTTTTTGTTTCAGAAGACACAGCCCTATTTTTTCAATGGGACTCTCCTCTTGAGGCCTGAGACATAAAAGGGAATCATAGAAAAAGAAGGGGCGTGAGAGAGGACAGATGGTGCAGCCGTTGCTGCGAGCCATGATGCTGGACGATGGTGTTTAGACAGAGGAGAGTGACTTTAATTTTAACGCTTTACTTGGGCAGGATAGTGCAGTTCTAGCCTCTGTAACTGACAAGGTCAGAACAGTGGTTCTTATAACCCAGCCTAAACATGCCATATACTCCCTTTGTCAATGGGTTCCCATTGTAAGCACAGAGGAAGCAAAAACAGCCAGCTGCCACTCTGCCAAGGTCTCACTCTGCCCAGTGAGAGAAATTGTTGTGTTTTTTGCTCTCTCTTTCCATCTATCTGGTCTGGTTCTATCTATATATGTAGACGTGGGCACACATGCATGATTTTGATTATAGCTTCCTGTGGTGGTAGCTTTCTGGCATCAGATACTATCCACAGCTTGATTGAAGAGAACAAGGATATTAAAAGCCAACACAGGGGTTCTTTTATGTCTACAAATGTTCAGTCCAGCTCAGTTCTGTTTGTCAGCAATGGGAAGACCAGCCTCATACTCCTAAAGCTTTCCATGTCCCCATCTGCCCTGTGCTGATCAGAATGAGCCAAGAATGATGCACAGCTCTCAAGGTGGATGAATCGCATTCCTGCTAATGAACTTCTACCATGTTAAGTAATAGCAATGGCCATTGACATTTGGGTACTTAAACAAAAGTCCTCCATAGAATATATTGATTGAGTTTTTTTTCTTTCTTCCTTGTTTTCTTTTTACTTTTTTACCCATCTGAAGAATGCCTTTTAGTTATTCTCAGTTTTGCTGCTCAAAATCGCTGGTGGTATTCCGTACAGGTCTCCTTTCTCCTTGTGAAGCCACACGTGTATGTTTCCATATCTCAACCTGCAAATGAGAATGATGGTGTTTTCCCACCCCATCGGTACTATTAACATTTATTTACCTCACAGTCAAGTTTTATTAATTACTTAATTAGCAGTAGTAAAAGCAATTAGTGTTTGGGAGCAGGGAGTGTTATATACATGCGAAGAACAAAAATTAGCATCAATGAGACACAGACAGAGGTTCACTTTTAAATAAAGAATACAAATATTGCCTTTTAATTTCAACCATGCCTAGGCCCCCCAAATGGACTCGGCCAAATGGCATGTGTGCTTGTACATGTGCACAACAAACGCACTCCTGCCCCTGCTCTGTATGGCTGCTGCCTTCCTAGGTCTTGCACCAGGTGTCCACTTCTGAACATGACATTTCTTTTCTCCACTCTGCATTTGTAGGCAGCAATCAATTGAAAACATCCTGTGCATAAGCTTCACTCATTTTTCTAAATAGGTGAGGAGAGTGGAAGCTGTGCAGTGAGCCACACCTTAACCTCTTTCTTTGCTCTCTGTAAATATTGGGTTGTCGGAAAAGTCATGACATATTTTTGCAATGAAAAACACAGAAAAAATGCGTCATGACTTTTCTGACAACCCAATAGAATGAGTGAGCCTGGATACGATGGTGCCTGCTCAGGTAAAGTTTCAGAAGCTGGATCTCTCCAGCTTCACACTAGGTTGACACAAGGTTATAGAACAGGCCTTTTCATGGCTGTGATTCCCACTGAAGCCCTAGAGATTAGAGCTAATGAACTTCTTTCTTGCTTGCGGAGCCTTAAGTAAAACTTGTAGCTGCCCCACTTCAGGATACATAGACAGGCAAACTAGAAGTGTTGAGAAACTTAAACTCTCTTTATCCTGCCATCACTAGAGAATAGAATTCATCATTATAATTCCCTTTAATAAAATAATTGCACACATTTATTAAGCTCCTACGATATGTGGTGCTATGCTAGGGAATGGAATGAGTGTAAGAACAATATGCTGTTGTTGGGCCAGCCGAGTGGTGTGTTAAAAGTTGGCTTGGGATGCCAGCTTTGAGCAGCAGGGCCCAGTTCGGATCCCACATGCGGGCCAATGACGCTGCACCCTCTAGAGTTAAGATGGTGAACAACAGCTCGAGCTGGAGCTGGGCTGACGTGAGTCCCCGGTGATGGTGTAGGCTGCAGTGGGTCTGGCCAGCAGCTGGTGTGAGCCATCATGAGCAGCCATCCCATGGCCAGCAAGCGACTGCCTCACCCAGGAAGAGTGCAGTGATAAAACCAACATGGGCCAGTGAAGCGATGTGCTCTACAACTAGACTGAAGAGCAAAAAGGACAGCAAGTTGTCTGTTCCCCTTCCCCAATCCCCCAACGCTGTTCTCCTCCCCCAATTTTCTAATAAAATTCTGTCTGTCTGTCTCTCTCTCTCTCTCTCTCTCTCTCTCTCTCTCTCTCTATATATATATATATATATATATATATATATATATATATATATATATGCTGTTGTTTATTTGAGTGTTTTCTTATGCTTGCCTTTTGAGGAATGGCCCATCTAATTGACAAGATAAGTCTATAGCATGAAAGATAGAATCAATACAAAATAGCATATGCTAAATGTTATATATGAGGCCTTGAGGGCTCGTTGGGGTTCAGAAAAGAGAGTACTCTTTGAGCACCAGCACATAAAAGTGTCAGCGTGGAGCTGGATAGAATTTGGATTGGATATATAAACGCAGACTTGGACTGGAAGAGAGAGGAGGTTGAGAAGGTGAGAGGAGGGGGAGTGTGGCTAGAATGCAGAGAGATTTTGAGAGCAACAAACACACCCTTGTTCTTTGCATGGTAAGAGCAGAAGCCTTTTTAAGGAAGGAAGGAAGGGAAGGAGGGAGGGAGGGAGGAAAAAAAGTGAAAGGTGAAGTTCAAAATACAGAAAGGGGTCAGCTTTTGAAGAACCTTGAATCGGGGCTTTCATCCACCTGATCTTTCTTGAACCCATCAAAGAGGGTATGGACATTTAAGTACTACAAGTATCTTTATTACGAGTCAGTTTGGAAGGCAGTTCCTTGGTGGGATTCCAGGGAATCCTAACGCTCCCCTCATGAAAGTTGGGAAAAGGCCTCTGTGGTGTTTGAACCATTTAAAGGAGCTGCTCCCAAAGGATGATGAGGTACAGTTACTCTACTTCCCCAGCACTAAGACCAAAATGCTCCCAAATATATAGAAATCCACTAGTTCATAAGATGGTCAAGTTTCAAGTGGCCATTTAAAGCCTTCACTTCAGAGTTGCTTCACTCCCACGAAATGCATCACTGACTCTATTTGCCACAGCGTTGAGAATTTCAACTCATTTCCACAAAGGACAGCGAAAGGCTCCATCAAAAGTGATAGTTTCTTTAGTTCATCAAATCTCTATTCAGTGCAAAAACATTACTGTCCTTGTGGTTTGTGCTTTATGATTGCTTTTATGAAAACAGAGAAAAGGCAAAATATATAGGTGGAAACTTAAATTGACTTTATATTGCTAAGATTAACCATCTTCAAAAATAACATGCTCGATTAATGCATTTCTGATTTCAAGGTGTGTTTTTTAAAAAATTGGTCTTCCCTGCACACAGTAATTCTATCAGACAATGGAATGTAGAAGAAAACATTGTGTGTGATTTATTTCTGGGGGCTCTGAAGAATAAAAATACTATTTTTTTTACTAGTGCTTCTGAAATATCAGATAAAAGATGATTATAATATGCAAAGATGTCTTTCAGTTATAGACTTTTTTTTCTTTCGATGTGTTTGTTATAGGATCTAAGGGAGGAATGCGTCAAGTTGAAAACAAGAGTGTTTGATTTGGAACAACAGAATAGAACGTTAAGTATCCTGTTCCAACAGCGAGTGAGATCAACTTCTGATCTTCTCCTCCAGGTATGTGTTTATGTGGAAAACAATCTTTGCTACTGAAATGCTACTGACAAGATGTTACTTCAGTTCAAAAGTTACCAATATCTCCATGGGCAAGGCACATTGCATGAAAACCCCAATTCTTTCCCATCTTGAGGGCTGTCATTAGAATTGAACATCTCTTAAATTTGTGACTTTTTAAAGCTACATATAAAGAAATGCATCAATAAATAATAAATGATAAAAGGGACAACCAGAAGGTATTGTCGAGTAAACTAAGCAAAATAGTGGAACAGAGCCAGGAAATAATTACCTGAGGGTCTTGCATCCCATAATCAGCAAGAAAGAGTTTTATGGAATGCTAAAGTACATGTCTTCATTTCAAACTCTCTAATCAAAAACATAGCTGGCATTTGTTTTCCTTTCACCTCACTCTCTGTGTAGCATTCCTTCTCATAGCACAATACTTCCTATATTCTGCCTCAGTGTTTTACAGGTTTTCTTTGTCTAAATGCTCTCACCGAACTTTCTTTACTTGCCTCCATAACATGGAAAGTCAAACCATTTGAATCATTTTGAAGCCATTCCTGACAAAGTTCTGAGAAAATAACTGGCTACGGAGAAACACATGAATTAGCAAAAGGGGTTGGAGGGCTGATCTTTGCTATTTATTTTCTATTTTAAAAAATCTATTAATATGCATATTTGCTCAAACAAGCTCCGGAGAGCCTTGCTCAGAGCCCTTCCGAGGCTCAGCTTGCAAAGGGTGTGTGAGGTTTCACAGGGCAATATACAAGTACAGTAAGTCCCCGACTTATGAACATTCCAGTTGCAAACAAATTGCGGAAGTAGCTCACATGTCTGCCAGACATTGTCACAGTTGTGTTGCTGTGTGCTTACTGTACAGTGTGATAGTGTACAGCAGTACAGTGCTCAATCAGAGCCCAGGATGTATTTTTGTATGTGTGTTTAGTTTTTTTATGCTTTGCATTGTATATTTGTGTCAAAGTTATATAAGACTCACTTTGTCAGACTTGCAAAGGAATCCTATTTATGAACGTTCTCCCAGAACGGAATTCATTCATAAGTTGGGGACTTACTGTTACTTACTAAGGAACCTCCCCCTCAACTGCCAGGTCTAATTGGCTGAGAGAAAGGAGCAATACAGAGGTGTCCTCTAAACTATACTGCTCAGCATTATAGCCACTAGCCACATGGCACTATTGAAATTGAACGCTAAATTAAACTATTTTTAAAAAAATGAATAAACTAAAATTAAGTTCCTATGTCAAACTAGCCACATTTCAAGTATTGAAAAGCCACATATGGCCAATGGCTACCATATTAGACAGTATACGAGGTCTGACAATTATGTCCATGAACTCATCCTAGAAAAAGTGCTACATACCTCATTGCTGAATATCACTATAGTCACCTTTGAAATAATCCCCTTGGGAAACTATGCACTGATGACAGCACCTAGCCCACCCTTCAAAGCAATTTTGGAACTCTTTCTGGACTGGCCATCAGAGGTGTGGTCGTATTACCCTTGATGTCCTGAATGTCATCAAAATGTCTTTCTTTCAATATTTCCTTTATCTCCGGGTAAAGAAAGAAGACATTGGGGGCCAGATCAGGTGAGTAGGGAGGGTGTTCCAATACAGTTATTTGTTTACTGGCTCAAAACTCCCTCACAGACAGTGCCGGGTGAGCTGGTGCATTGTCGTGATGCAAGAGCCATGAACTGTTGGCAAAAAATTCAGGTCATCTAACTTTTTCATGCAGCTTTTTCAGCACTTCCAAATAGTAAACCCAGTTGACTGTTTGTCCAGTTGGTACAAATCATAATGAATATTCCCTCTGATATCAAAAAAAGTTAGGAACATCAGTGCAACAAATTTGCGAACTTAATTGACAGACCTCATGTATACAGAATATTTTCATCATCGTAGAAAGTTCTACAGGACAGCACTTTTCCAAATGGTTGAAATAGTGTTGCTAATTTACTCTCTGAACTTTGGCATAAACATCTTTTTCTGACACCTCAGAGAAATAATGAAAAATTGCAGTTCATTTCAGAGAAAAAAAAATGTTTGATAAAGCTAAACATCAAATTGTAAACCCCCCTGAAATTAAAATAAAACAGCTCTATGAATTGTAAAATAAATCTCATCTCTTAAATTAATTTCCTCTCTGCCTTATCTGTTAGAGCATAATTCATAATTTATGACTTAAAAATTGTGTAGAAAAATACTCATCTATCTCTATGCTGTTTCCTAATCCTGACCACAATAAATGTTGGTCATAAAGAAACTTGCATCTGTAAAAAGTTGTATTTCTTTTGCTCTCTCATAACCAAGATCTAGTATCATAATTACTTTTAACAGCTGTTGTATGTTCATGAATTTTTCTTTTTTGCCCATTTTAACTTGAGGCTTTTCTGGAACAATGTTTAAAGATCTGTAGTCCCTGATTATGACTCATGATGATTTATTTCCATAGTAAACACATGTGCTGTCGATATTGAAGCTTTTTCATGGACTGGCACACATTTCTTAAATCCATATCCAAAGGGCAGGGGATGGTGTGTATGCCCACAATATAACTTGGTGTTTATTGATTGGGAATTTTCAGCCAACACACATCATAGTCCTCCCCAAGTAGTTCTCACTTTCAGGAGCCATTCTAATGTAATTGACACTTGAAAACAATGGACTATTAATAGTTCTGTGAAGAAGAATGATAGGAAGTGTGATGCCTATACTCTAAAATCTTACAGCAAATTTACAGACAACTTTGCTAGCTTTTCAGGTGGACTGTTTATGATGTGACTCATGTTTTTCATTTTCTGGTGGCACAAAGACCTATCATGGAGCACTGGCTAAATTAAACACAGTCTGAGCTGGCTTTGCACCTACAGAAGCACTATGATTACATGTTGAATGGCATAATAAATAAATAACACAAATTCATTCTGTAAATTGGGGAGTCATTTTGCATACACCTAAGAGAATTTTATGTGCCCACCTCTTCTGCTGAACTTTTTCTGTCTGATGTGAATGCTTTGGACTATTATTCAGCCGTGCCGGACCAGCCCAGTCTGTTTGAGGGTGTGGCTAGTGGATGTAGCCAGTCCACCAAGGTACCTGGTCCCAAATATTATAGACCTTACAGCTTCTGCCCATGAACTGGAGCTTCAGTACAGTAGGTTTCTAAGTAGTTTTCTGTATAGCTTAGAAAATTGAGTTGTCATCTGCTGAATACCGCCTAATGATTCTCTACAATCTAAAATAGCCACTTGAGAAGCAGAAAGAAGATTGTTTAACCCATTGTGATTTTAGTAGATACATTGTAAGCAGTAGAAAAGAAAATAATGTATAGGAAAGAGTCACTGCTTTGTCCATCAAAAATAGAGAATAAGAGGTTACATGCATATTATTTAATAAATTAATTTATAGGAGGAACAAAAGGGGATCGTTCTAAGGATTGTTTTTCAATTCTGGAAACTTACGAAGGGAACCAGGTCCACGATGGGGAAGAAAAAAGGAGGCTGACCTGAAAATTAAAATCTTAACAATGGCAATAAACTTTTCTGTTGATTTCAAGTTTCAGAATGATATCTCTGAGACTATAGGTGGTAACAAATCAGATTAAGAGGGCCCTCTATATTGGAATCAACAATTTAAGCTAAATTCTAAAGAATTGAGAAGACAGTACAACAAATAAAATCCAAAAGTAATGTTCTTAAAGGAACCCAAGTTTCTAACTAAAATTTACTTGAACCTACTGGCCAGATTAACCGATGCTCACTCTTTCCTCTTGTAAATCATATTAAACAATACTTGCAACTTACTGAACATTGGTAAGTAGTAGACAGCTTACTTCTCTTACCGGTTGAGTTGAATGCTCAGCATCAATTAAATGTTTGCAACTCAGTATGTTTATGCGAGTAGTATATGTCATGGTAATTATGTAATTTTTAACAACTACGTAAACTGATGAAATCTGCTGCAAAAAGAATTGTTTCTATAAAACAAACTTCAGTGCTTCAAAAACATCTAGAAAGGCAAGTCACTAAAAACAAATGTTTATGACCAAATGAAATATAGATGTCTAACTACAAAAATAAATTGTGAGAGATGGGGAATTGTGTTAAGTATAGGGGCATTCTTCATGCAAATTGCTTCTTAAATGACTTTAAATTCTTGTTTCACTGTTAAGAAAATCAAAAGCTAGAAATCACAGACAATGCAGGAAGCATGTGGTTGATGCCACCACCACCCCAAAACCAAAAGAAAACCACCAACAAAGAAACAAACAAAAAAAGGTCAAACATTGGAGGACTCTAATAATAGGATCCCTAGGAAAAGAAGCAGATTTTGCCCTATCAAAAATGTATGTAACAAATATATAGTGCTTATCATGTGTCAGATACTATTCTCCAACCTTTGTTCAATTTAATCTCCATTACAGTCCTATGAGGTAGGAACAATCGCTGCACCCATTTTGCAAATGGGAACACGTGGGCACAAAGAGGCTAAGTCACTAGCTGGTAGTTGACAGAGTGGCTATTTACATCCACAGTCAGGCTCCAGTTCCTCCCTTTTACCTCCTTCCTGGGTGCCTTCCTCATGGAACACAAATGGACATAAGGAACATTTTTCTGATTCCATACTCCAAAATTTTGATTAACTGGCCCACCAGTGATCGAGTCATATCAGAGGACTTCTACAGTGCCATTGTAATAAGGACTTTCCATAGTCACACATTCCTGAAAGGCTCTTAATTTGTGGCATCCAAGATTTCCCCTCCCCTATGTGTTCTGCTTTTGTCTTGTTTCAAATACCTGTGTTTTCGTTATCTTCATAGGACACTGTGCTCATATTTTCGCCTAACATGTTGTTTTCTTTTCCCTTTTATCTGATATTTCAGAGTCTTAGTACCCATATCCTTAGGCCAAGATAGAAAGAAAAGAATGTTATAATGTAGATTATTCACACAAACAGTTGAACATCTGACAGCTT